GTAGATTTAAACAGCTTCACACATACATTGAAATGCATTCTTTAATATACTATAAAGAATAAACTGCAGTATAAAAACCTGAATTTACCAAACACAAACTTCTGCAATATCTAGGAATATGTATTTAAAACACAAAAATAATTACCTAATACAAACAAAACAAATAGGATGTATTTAAATTGAGGAGACAACACCCAGAAACTGTTTTTTTGTGTGATTTCATAACGTTTTTTTGGCTCTTTTCTGACATTAAAACACACTCACCGTGGCGTTGGAGCAGTTTAACAGACACAGAACCAGCAGAATAAACCACCTCCTCCGGTAAACTCTGTGGGTCATCAGCCTCCGGAGCTCCGGGTCCGTACCGGGGGAAACCCCGGGGGGAAGCCCGGGGGAAAGGGCCCCATAACCGGCCTGGACCCCCTTCGCCCCCCCGCTGGACTCCATGGAGGCTCCGCCGGTTTAAGCTAGCCGCTAGCTAGCTAGTTAGCTAACGATAGTCCGTTCAAAAACCGAGACATTTAACACGATTTAGCCACCTGCTCCTCAGCAAATAACTTAAAAGCCTAAACCATTTATATTTGCGGATTTAAATAGACAGAAGATCCATTCTGCTAACATCTTTTGGACTTTTGTGTCACGTTGTTATATAAATAGAAGCCGGAACGACAGTTGACAAAAGTCAGAAAGTGGAGCTTCAACAATCAGGGAATTGTCTTCTACTGTCCAAAGATCTTTTAGAAAAAAGAGGAATCACTCCTTCATTTATATGTGTATATAGTACAATCAATTCTCAATGTTCCTTAATTGATGTAATTTTAATTTATTCCATCTACATAACTTATTCTGTCTTAATACAGCCCTCTAAACACGTTTTTATTAGAAAGAAAAGGGTAAATCTGGACAGTAAACTATGGTTTCTGGAAAGAAAAAAAGTAATTTAGCCCCATCTTGTTGCTGATAGGCATATCATACATTCATCCTCATAACCATATGTGTTAATTATTTTTGGTAAATGTTTTAAATGCTAAATTGTTGTTCTTTTTGTGAGTAAATTAAATAAAACACCTGTTAGATTAATGTTTGCATCTCATGTGGAACCTCATACTTTGCACTTTCGATATCGATTAAAGGTTCTAGTGTGTGTTTATTAGCTTGCAAATACGAATACAAATAAGTTTAATAGCTATTATTTTATAGCATGTGAAAGGATTTGGATTGGAGTGAAACTGGAAATGTGTCTTTAATACAGAGCAGAGTGAGAACTCTTTATTTATTTAGACTCTTTGACGGGAAACTTTGGTTTGTCTGCTTCCTGTTTGCTTTTATTCTAAAGAATGAAGGACACCGTTTTACACTCTGAACCTGCAAATAATTAGCCTAATACCATCAAACAGACCAGATTAGGAATGATCAGCATGGCATTTAGCAGGAAAAGTCCTTTTCATTAGGAGATATTATATATTAACCTGATGTTATACCTTATTATTATGAGTATTGATAAGTTAGAAGTTTTTTATCAGAGGATTTGGTTGTATTTAATCATGTTTTCTGCATTTCATCCATTCATGATGGTCAGATGAAAAACGTTCCTCAACCTTTTCATGTGTTTTGATGCCTAAAGTATTTT